GTTGAACCGTCATTCATAACTTTGTTTGATCTCTTTGAACCTTGGGATCTCCAGTCTGCTAGGTAGAGTTACCGCCATGATGACTTGTCCTAGGCCTTTAACCCCATTCCCTTTGATAATCTTTCAACTGCCTCTCTAGATAGGCCTTTTATAAGTGGATCCGACACGTTATCTCTTGACTTTACGTAGTCAATTGTGATAACACCACTGGAGAGTAGTTGTCTAACGGTATTGTGTCTCCGTCGAATATGACGAGATTTTCCGTCATACATAACGCTCCCTGCCCTACCTATTGCCGCTTGACTATCACAATGTATACAAATAGGTGCCAAAGGTTTGGGCCAAAATGGAATATCTTCCAAGAAATTCCGGAGCCATTCAGCTTCTTCACCAGCCTTATCTAAAGCTATGAATTCAGATTCCATTGTAGAACGGGCGATGCATGTTTGTTTGGATGATTTCCAAGACACTGCTCCAGCCCCAATTGTGAAAACATATCCACTCGTGGATTTAACTTCAGATGATCCGGTGATCCAATTTGCATCACTATATCCCTCGATCACGGAAGGATATTTGTTATAATACAAAGCATAATTTTGGGTATGTTTCAGATATCCCAAAACTCGTTTCATTGCCATCCAATGTATTTGATTGGGATTACTTGTAAACCGACTCAGTTTGCTAATAGCACATGCTATACCTAGTCACGTACAATTCATGATATACATCAAACTTCCCAATACTCTTGCATAGTCCAGTTGTGAGTCACTTTCACCTTCATTCTTTTGAAGTGCATAACTCACGTCAATTGGAGTCTTGGCAATTTTGAAATCCAAATACTTGAACTTGTCAAGTACCTTTTCAATATAGTGAGACTGTGATAATGCTAGACCTTGTGGAGTCTTGTGAATTCTGATTCCTAAGATCACATCACCAACTCCTAAGTCTTTCATGTCGAATTTGCTAGCCAACATGCGCTTTGTAGCATTTATATCTGCCATACTTTTGCTTATTATCAATATGTCATCAACATATAAGCAAACAATGACTTCATGACCTGGAGTATTTTTAATGTAAACACATTTGTCACACTCATTGATTTTAAATCCATTTGCCAACATTGTTTGGTCAAATTTTGCATGCCATTGTTTGGGTGCTTGTTTAAGTCCATAAAGCGACTTAACAGGTTTGCACACTTTCTTTTCTTTACCAGGAACCACAAAATCCTCAGGTTGTTCCATGTAAATTTCTTCCTCCAATTCTCCATTTAAGAAAGCTGTTTTAACATCCATTTGATGGATTTCAAGGCCATACACGGCCGCTAGTGCCACTAACACCCTAATAGATGTTATCCTTGTTACTGGCGAGTAAGTGTCAAAGTAATCAAGGCCTTCCTTTTGTCTATAGCCTTTGACAACATGTCTTGCCTTATATTTGTCAATAGTGCCATCAACTTTAATTTTTCGTTTAAAGATCCATTTCGAACCTAAAGGCTTATTTCCTGGAGGTAGATCAACCAATTCCCATGTATGGTTATCCAAAATTGATTGAATCTCACTATTGACTGCCTCTTTCCAAAATGCTGAATCAGAAGACAACATAGCTGCTTTAAAAGTTTGAGGCTCATTTTCAAGCAAGAATGTCACAAAATCTGATCCAAAGGAAGTAGATATTCTTTGACGCTTGCTATGCCTTGGATCTTCTATACTTGGAGTATTTTTCTTTGGTTATTTCCGAGGTCGTTTAGGTCTTTCACTTAACGACTCGCATTCAGTTTTATACGGATAGATGCTTTCAAAGAATTCAGCATTATCTGATTCCATTACCGTATTAACATGAATCTCGGGATTATCGGATTTATGAACCAAAAACCGACATGCTTTACTGTTTGTCGCATATCCAATAAAAACGCAATCTACTATTTTTGGTCCGATTTTAACCCTTTTAGGTAAAGGAACCTGTACCTTTGCTAGACACCCCCACACTTTGAAATATTTCAAGTTGGGTTTTCTTCCTTTGCATTTTTCATATGGAATAGATTGCGTTTTGCTGTGGGGTACTCTATTGAGAATTCGGTTAGCTGTAAGGATAGCTTCCCCCCACAAACTCTGCGGTAATCCGGAACTTATTAATAAAGAATTCATCATTTCCTTTAATGTCCGATTTTTCCTTTCCGCAATTCCGTTGGATTGAGGTGTGTAAGGTGCAGTAGTTTGATGGATAATTCCATATTCCGAACATATTTCTGCAAACGGAGATTCATATTCTCCACCTCGATCTCTTCTAATCATTTTGATCTTTTTATTCAATTGATTCTCCACTTCATTCTTGTATTGCTTAAATGATTCAATTGCTTCATCCTTACTATTAAGCAAATAAACATAACAATATCTAGTGCAATCGTCAATAAAAGTAATAAAATACTTTTTTCCACCTCGAGATGGTGTCGACTTCATATCGCAAATGTCAGTATGAATTAAGTCTAAAGGATTTGAATTCCTTTCAACAGACTTATAAGGATGTTTTACAAACTTAGATTCAACACATATTTGACATTTCGATTTATTACACTCGAATTTAGGCAATACTTCTAAATTAATTAACTTCCGCAAGGTTTTATAATTGACATGTCCTAAACGAATATACCATAAATCATTTGACTCCAATAAATAAGAAGAAGCTGAAATTTTATTCATACTATCAACAACCATTACATTGAGTTTGAAAAGGCCCTCCGTGAGGTAGCCTTTTCCAACATACATTTCGTTCTTGCTTACAACAACTTTATCAGAAACAAATACACATTTGAATCCATTCTTTACAAGTAAAGAAGTAGAAACTAAATTCTTCCTAATAGTAGGAACATGAAGAACGTTGTTGAGCGTTAACACCTTGCCGGAAGTCATCTTCAGGAATATCTTCCCATAACCTTCAATCTTGGCTGTTGCATTATTTCCCATGAAAATTTCTTCTTCGGGACCAGCAGTAGAGTAAGTCGCAAATGCTTCTTTGACAGCACAAACATGTCGAGTGGCTCCAGAGTCAATCCACCACTCCTTCGGATTTCCGACTAGGTTGCATTCCGAAAGCATTGCGCAAAGATCATCAATGTCATCATTCTTCTCCGCTATGTTGGCTTGTCCCTTCTTATTATCCTTTTTCGGGAGACGACAATTAGGGTTTTGGTGACCAACTTTTCCACAATTGTAGTAGCTGCCCTTGAATTTCTTTTTGTTCTGCTCCTTAGTTTGTCCAGAAGACCTCTTCCTCTTCTTACTTTTTGGAGCAGTCTCCTCAATGATATTAGCTCCCATGATCGTTGAATTTCCACGAGACTTCTTCTCGGCTGTTTTGTTGTCCTCCTCGATCTTTAGACGTATCACAAGATCTTCCAACTTCATTTCTTTGCGCTTGTGCTTAAGATAGTTCTTGAAATCTCTCCACGAAGGAGGCTATTTTTCAATCATAGCAGCCACTTGAAATGCTTCATTCACGACCATACCTTCAGCAATAAGATCGTGAAAAATAAGTTGAAGCTCCTGAACTTGGGTTCCCACAGTTTTGTTGTCTATCATTTTATAGTCTAGAAACTTGGCAACCACTAACTTCTTCAAGCATGCATCTTCTGTCTTGTACTTCTTCTCAAGTGCGTCCCATAATTCTTTCGAAGTATTCATTGCACTGTACACGTTGTACAAGTCATCCTCTAAAGCACTTAAGATATAGCCTTTGCAAAGAAAATCTGCCTGCTTCCACGCCTCAACAACCATGAACTTTTCATTGTCCGGCATGTCCGCAGCAGGCACTGGAGGCTCTTTAGTAGTGAATTTCTGCATACCAAGTGTGGTAAGCCAGAAGAACACCCTTTGCTGCCATCCTTTGAAGTTGGCTCCAGAAAATTTCCCCGGTTTCTCGGCCGGAGGAACAGCAGTGCGGCTTGACGAGGCTATCGTCGTTGCACCAACAGTCGCAGAAGGATTTCCGTTATCAATTTCCATTTCTCATTGTCAACAACAGAAGAGTTCAACTAATGGCAAAACCAGAACAGTAAATAATACTGTAATCAATAAACAGTACGTAATAAAAAACAACCGAAGTTTTTTATATACTGTTTTACAGAAAAACGATGAAGTTTTTATGTTCTTCAAATCGTTTTCTAAATTTCAATACTCTGATGAAGTTTTTATATCTTCAAATCAGAATAGTAAAATTCAGACCGAATACAGAATATAATAAAATAATTTCCTTAAGATTGTTATCAATCTGTATTGCTGTAAATAAATAAAAACAATAATCTTTCTGAAAGCAGAAACAGAAAGTTAGTAGAAATAAATTCTGAAAATAGTATTTGAACTTCAAAATAAATTTCGAAAACGGTATAGGAACAGATCGAGCCTACTGAATACACAGTGTGTCCTTAAGGAAATTATTCCCCTCAAGTACCCGAGGTTCTGGAATATAACCTCCCAGGATAGAACGGTTTAACTCATCGGAGTGTTGGTATCAAAAACGCCGATGAACAGCGAACCACTCGAAGGCTGTAAAACACGCTGGAATTTTTGTGCAGAAGAAGAAGAAGATTATCAGAAAATTTCATAAGTAAATATTCTCGGATTTGAAGGAATATTTATAGCCAATTTGGTACTGTTTCTGAAAAGGTTTACAACCTTTCAGAACAGCCATGGCTGTTGGAACAGGTTTGACACTGTTTCAGAACAGCCATAGCTGTTGGAAATATTGCGGGATAATTAAAACGGATTTAAAATAATCCAAGAAAGAAATGGCGCGAAGCTTGCCTTCTTCTTAACTCTTTAAGAGCTAAAAGATGAGCTTCTCTATATATACACAAAGATTTTCTTTCCTTCTACCAATGAGGGACAAAGTGCATTAGTGAAATGAACTCATTCAAAATTTCACTTCCCTCTATTTCTTTTCCCACCATTTTCCATTCACACCTCTTTTGTTATTAATAAATAATAACAAAACCCAACAGTTAAAACTGACACAAACTTAAAATTCAGATATCATTCAAAAGTCGCCATACAACTCTCAATAATGATTATAGTACATAAAAAAAAAAAAAAAGGACAAGAAGCATGCAACTATTTTTTGCATAACAACAGAGAATATATGATGAAATTGGATGTAAACAGTATTTCCTAAATCCCATTGACTTTATAATAAAGTATGCTTCCATATTTCCCCGAATTTCATCAGTTCCATGCTTCATCCATCTTCATTCCAAACAAAGGCAAACATGGCTGTAACTGCTATTGTTTACGGTCCAAATCCTTTATAATTCCATTTTGAGAAGAATTGTCAACATCAGAATTTGAGGACTTAGCTTTAGACTCATCAAGATAATTCTGATAAATATAAGAAAGAAATCCCCAAAGAGCAAGCAACAATGCAATGACTTTTTCACCATCCATTTTATCATGGAAGAAAATCACAGCAAGAACTGGCACAACAGGTGAACCTAAAGTACTTATCACATTAGAGAACAAAGAAGACACTTCAAATATCAACCCCAATAAACCAACAGAACCAATTTGCCAAATAACAGCAGTCCAAATCAATGTCATCAAATATGAAACTTCTCCCTTCTGAAAACCATTCATTTCTGCTGTCAAAATTTTCCATTCTCCGCTCGCGTATAGCCCCACAACACAAGCACACGTTGCTACAAATGATGTATAAATTATCATTTTCAATATTGTGTCAAATGACTCACTTTTGATCACCTTCTTGAAAGTTAGTTCTAATAAAGACAGGTATAGTGCATAAGTTGCTGAAGCAGAAACAGTACATACGAATCCGATCACGTATTTTCCAACTGATGATTTTGTACTAGTAGTATCAGATTCAGAATGAACTGCTAGTAGTGAAGCTGAAATTGTGACAATCACTACAGAGTTGAGTATTAAAGCTGTGAATTTTTGCGCGTTTAATAGGAACGAGAACAGGACATTGAAGGCTAATTGAGATGCACAAATGAGTGAATAAGTTGAGACAGGAAGATATAACAGACCATATGAATACATCAAATTGTTACCTGCTAATAGTAAGCCAAAAAATACATAGAGGAGATAAAGGTGACATTTTGATGGTTTTTCGGACGATGAGGAGGATGCAATTTTTGAAGATTTAAAGAGAAACAAGAGTGGAATCAAGATTGGAAAACCAGCTGATTGAACAAATGTTGCCATCCATTTACTATTCCCACCTTTATCATAGTAAAATCTTCCTAAAAGTGTAGCTGCAGATTGTCCAACAAGTAGGAAAATGATGTATACACATATTCTAAACCACCAACTGTAGTCTTTACTGAATCTTGAAAGTTGCTGCTGTTGGTTATTTGTGTCATCTTCTAACATTTGTATTCTGCTTGATTCTTTGCCAGCCACTACAACATTATATAGTAATCAAATAAGTGAAAACTATAATGAAACACAACATATAGAATTCAGTTGTAGAAATTTCATTCTTATTTAGTGCATGATTCACTTAATCAAGCTAAGTATCATAACATGGCGTGGAGCCACAATATTAGCTAGGGGTTCGAACGAATCCAGTAGCGTTTGTTTAGACTCTCTATTTGTATTAGGGAAATATGTTAAATATGTAGTATAAATATTACTACTTACGAACTCAGTAACTAAAACAAGCTATGAGTTCAATAGCAAGTTCAGAACCTAAAAACTTCAAATCTTGGCTCTACCTCTAATCATGACTAGGGGCGGATTTATGGGGGGCAGAAGGGGGTTTACCTGAACCCCTTTTGCCGGAAAATTATGTTGTACACATAAGGCAAAATCCATTTTGTGAATCTGCTTGACACAACCCAAAAGTATAGCTTAGTGGTCGAAGGAGGTTGTTGGTTCAATTCCCACTGGCCTCAATCTCTTTTAATATTTTAAAATTTTCTTTTTTTGAACTCCTTAGCGGAAATCTTGCATACGCTACTGATCATGACCGTGGTTCTTAAATCATTTTTACCAAGAGAAGTATCAAATTTTGATCATAAAGAGTGAATAAGAGCTAAGAAAAATGGGAAATATATGACTTTTGAAATGGAAATAAAATCAGTGACAAACCTGGGATTTGCAGTTCCACTTGTTGAATAGAGTCCATGATTAAGTTGTGGTACAGATAGTGCTATTAAAATCCTGTCCTTTAATAAAGAAAGCAAATTAAAGACTTATCACGTATATGAAATATCAGAATGTCCCACCAGTTGTAATTTTAGATTTTTTTTTAAAGCCAACTGGGTCGATATAGTATGACAACTTTGACGAATTTAAAAAGTTGAAAATGGAAATAATTGACTCAATTTTCACTACATGAGCTAGGAAATATAGTTGCTTTTGAATGATTACGAATTTGGTGACTAAAAAATATTGTTGTGTTGATATAATGAAATGAATTGTTGAACTTTTTGAATTAAATATAATTTTCAATACATTTCTATAATATATCATATCGTAATCTATTTTGAAATTTTTTATTTTAAAAATATCTAGGAAAAAGAAGAAGGAATTAGGTGAAATATATTAAAGCAGAAAGGACCTACAGCTTTTGTGCAATTAATAATTAGGATATATATGTACTATTGCAACAAACTTTTTAACTTTGTCCCTACCACATGACAAACGTTTTAATCCAGGATTATAATCATGCATATCCTGATTTTGAATCAAACGATTACTATATTCCTATTTCTATTTTCGCATAATTAAATACATTTATAAGGTACAAGAATTTATGTAATATTATTTTGATACTTCGAAATAAGAATATAAATATTACTCCTAGTAACATATGTGTTAAAATAATTAAAAATGTAAAAAAATTCTCTTTGTGGCAAACAATATATAGTTTACTTCGTTTTAAAAGTAAACACCTATTTTAAATTATACGTTGTATAAAAAACTCAATACATCAAATGAATCATATTTGAACAAGAAATAATCATGTATTGTAAATGATGCATTATGAGCCCACGCGCGCACGTCTAGATCAACTAAACCAAGTAGTAGTTAGTTGTTACTTGGTAATTCCATTATGGAGAGAAATAGTTAGGTAATACAGCTAGAAACGAAGATGTTGATAGTTAACAAAACATTAGAATATATCAAGACTGTAATTATTGTAGTTTATAAATGACTCGAAGCACAATTGCACAAAGACACCCAATATATCATGAGGCTACAGTGACGAAACATAAGTGAATTAATGCAACTCGTTGCAGAATTCTAATCTCATTAAAATCTGACGTTTGACTGTTTTTGTCTTTTATTAATAATGATTTTGTTAATGACACTGTTTTTATCTTTTATTAATAATGATTTGTTAATGACAGAAATAAGGGGGAAGTGCACGGTTGGCCACTAATAACACATGTATTTACTTTTAAGTCACCGTTTAAAATGTTTTAGTCTTTAGCCACTGCTTTAATAAACTTTAACTGCCCGGACAAAAATACTCTTATGCTCATGTCCTTAACTTTGGTACTTAACTTTAGGACTTCAGGACTACATGTCCTTAACTTTTGAACTTGGAACTCTAAGTTCAGGACTTCAGGACTACATGTCCTTAACTTTTGAACTAGTAACTCTAAGTTCAGGACTTCAAGGCTACATGTCCTTAACTTTTGAACTTGGAACTCAAACTTCAGGACCAAGTGTCCTTAACTTTTGAACTTGTAAGTCAAAGTTAAGGACCTATTATCCTTAACTTTTGAACTTGTAACTGTAAGTTAAGGACTGTCTGTCCTTAACTTTTGAACTTGAAAATCAAAGTTAAGGACCTATTGTCCTTATGTCTTGTTCCTTTTTTAATTCCACGTGATTGCCATGCAAACCTTGATCTCCTCCCCTACAAATATTAGTACATACTCTACCATTAGCAGTAACACCAACCAGTGATGGAGCAAGACAATATAATCTACGGCCACTAAATCTCCATATATACTAGTTAGAATAGAAATGATAATAAAATATTGGAAAATGCAATAAAAATATAAGTAGCAAAAAAGACTTCTAGTACCATATGATACCAATATGGTATACATGTATACCAATAGAGTATATGATTGCTCTAGAATATTGCTACAACTATCTGTGACTATACTACTGTACCAAAACATTAAAGGATACAATAAAAGTATGAGAAAATTACATGCTCGCATTGCAAGCTAAATATTCGCAAAGCAACATGCTCATTCCATATACTAACAGGGTATATAGTTGTATGGGTCGTTCCAACAATTGCCTATAATTATAAAAACTATTACATAATACACATAATCTATATCCATCAGCACAAAAATTTTCCAGCACTGCAAATCACGTTCATATAAATAATTTCAGAGTAGAATTCACTTAAAAATGCAGCCAAAACAACCAAAAAAATGTTCAAACTACCATATGATACCAATATGACATATAACTATACCAACATGGTATACATTTTTACTAGTTAATTCCCGGCAACTATATGACTATACTACTACTACATAACACACATGCATAAAGAGAAAAATAAAAAAATAGTGTACCACATATTAATGTGATAAAGTATTTCAAGATATTGAACTATATTACTATTATTAAAAGAAAATCAAATATTGTACTAATAAATGCAGCTAATACAACCAAAAAATGATTCAACTAGCATATGATACCAATATAGTATATAACTGTACTAATAGGGTATATAGTTGGAATGAATTATATACCAAAATGGTATATTTGTATACTATTTGAGTATACAATACAAATTCGTCTTCTTCTCTTGTTCAACTATATTTCAACCCAAACTTCTAAAATCTACTACAAAATCTCCACCGAATTGACTAAAACTTTAGCTACAACCTCCAATCAACTTTCCAAACAAACCTATATAGGATCGGATCAAAATAATTAAAAACTCAAACAAACTAAGTTATGAGTTTAAAGCTTCAAGGTCCTTCAATGGTGGATTTGAATTTTTGTACAATAAATCACTGGAAAACGAGTTTGGGTGAAGAGAAAGAAGAAGGTATTAGTGAGAAACAAGTGTGTTTCTCACTAATACCTTCTTCTTTCTCTTCACCCAAACTCGTTTTCCAGAATACTACAATAAGAGAAAATCATTTTAGAATTAAACCCCATAATGGAAATGGAAACGAATTCAAGTGTTAACTCTAGAAAATTAATGGGTTTAGAGAAGAAGAAGAAAATAGAGGAAGAATGGAACTCCATTTACAGCTCTAAGCACCAACCCTCTCGTGCTGACTTTCTTCCCAATTCATATTTCATATTCGGTGTTGTTCTGCTTACCAGGTTTCTTCCACTTCTATTTCATTTTAATCGGGTAAATAGTTTGGGCCCCATGGATAGGAGTAGTAAATAGTTTGGGCCTGAGCATTAAAGTCTAAATAGTTTAGAATTAATGGGTATAAAGTGAGATTTTCTCAACAATAAATATACTTACATTTGACAACCGAGCCACCTTAGTTTTGGAAATCATCCCCCCAACCCTAACCCCCCCCCCCCCCCCTAAAAAAAAAAAAACGAAGAGAGAGAGACGTGAATTTAAAGTTAACTTGACATGAATATTATTTTAAACAGTTTCCTTAAATGTTTTTTCCATTCTCTTTAATTATCACTTAAACTCTATAAATTAAAACGATTCTTTTAATCTACTTGTACTCATCTTTGAAAAAAAAAATAGAGCAGGTCATTTGATAACAACAGACTGGATTGGAACCGAATATAGATGGGTAAAATTCACAAATAACCACTTATTAGTAATTAAAAAATAATTATTTTTGTAGAGTTTCAAAATTCATATGTGAAACTTCATGACAGTGGCTATTTTTAAAAAACATGATCTAAAAATGGTGCTATTTCTACAAAACTGGACCTCATTATTGGATCCGAATAACTGGTGAGATAACCCGATTTGAATCCAAATTTAAACTGAAACAGCTCGTGGATCAAAAAACCGTTTAGGGTTCAGTAATAGGGTTTAAGGGTTTTCAGTTTTCCCATTTTCCCTTACTCTTTCACATTCATTCCCAGGGATATATGGTAAGACCTCAATTTGTCTTCAAATTTCGTTCAAATTTTCATTTCAACTTAAGTTTTGAATAATTATTCGAAGAATTTTCTCTCACAGATGCAAAATATCTGATGCATCAACGTATAGTAATTTCCAGTCATCGGGTACTGAAAATTACTTCAGTTTTTTCACCAAAAATTTGTGCTTTATTTATCCCACAATTGAATTTTTGTAACCGTAGAAATAATGTGTTCACTGTATTTAGTGCAAATATGTACACTTCCACACATACTAATAGGAGAGCACCGGACCCGAATGATCCGGCCACCTTAATGAAAGAAGATGGTATATCACTTTGTTGTAGAATGTGGATTGATAGTTTTCGAGAATCCGATAAAACTGTGACTAATTTAACTGATTATTTGAGGAGGTTTGAATTGTGGGTATTGGCTTATCAAAAGGTTTCTGCTGATGACACGGGCGCATATATGCCCCGGAGCGCGATAACGCGGTCAGCACTTGAGGATTTGTTGGCCTTGAGAAATGCAGTTCTTGATAATAGGTTTAAGTGGGGGGCTAGGTTGGAGTTTTTCATTAAGTCTCCGAGGGATAAGACGGATTATGAGTCGCTGTCGAAGAGGAAGATTAAAGCTATCTTGACTACGACACAGCCGAGCCCGTTTCAAGATAGGGTTGTTCAGGAAGTGTTGTTTATGATATTGGAGCCAGTTTATGAGGCTCGGTTTTCGCAAAAGTCATTCGCTTTTCGACCTGGAAGGACTGCGCACACGGCTTTGAGGGTTATCAGGAGAAGCTTTGCGGGGTATTTGTGGTATATAAAGGGAGATTTAAGTACGGTTTTGGACGGGATGAAGGTTGGGATGGTGATTAGTGCGCTGATGAGAGATGTACGTGATAAGAAGGTAGTTGATTTGATAAAGGCTGCTTTAACTACTCCTGTTGTAACTAGCAGACCTGATGACGGTGAGAAAAAGAAGAAGACGAAAAGAAAGTATCAGAAAAAGAGAGTCCTAGCAGATGATGAGCCGAAGCCTGATCCATACTGGCTGGAATCGTTCTTTGGGTTTGCTCCAGAGGAGGCCGCGAAAGTTCCTTCATGGGGTCATTGTGGTATACTCAGTCCGCTTTTGGCTAATGTTTGCCTTGATGAGTTGGACCGCTGGATGGAAGGTAAGATCCAGGAGTTTTATCGGCCTTCAAAGAATGATGTTATTTGGAATAGTCCGGAAGGGGAAGTAGAACAAGGAAATACTTCTTGGCCCGAATTTGTTCCTACGAGTGGGCCTGACAAGACCAGGAAGATTGACTACATCCGTTTTGGTGGTCACATTCTAATAGGGGTAAGGGGACCAAGAGCAGATGCCGCAACACTAAGAAAGCAGTTGATTGAGTTCTGTGATCAGAAATACATGCTCAAGCTTGATAATGAGAGCCTTCCTATTGAACACATAACAAAAGGTATTATGTTTCTTGATCATGTATTGTGCCGTAGAGTAGTATATCCCACACTCAGATATACTGCTACTGGTGGGAAAATCATTAGTGAAAAGGGTGTAGGGACACTGTTGTCTGTCACAGCTAGCCTGAAACAATGCATTAAACAATTTAGAAAGTTGAACTTTCTCAAGGGAGACAGGGATCCAGATCCACAGCCGTGTTTTAGAATGTTTCATGCTACTCAAGCCCATACAAATGCTCAGATGAATAAGCTTTTGGCCACAATGGTGGAGTGGTTCAGATATGCTGATAATAGAAAAAAGATTGTTAATTTTTGTTCTTATATCATTAGAGGTTCACTTGCTAAGCTCTATGCTGCAAAATATAAGCTTCGGTCACGGGCAAAGGTTTACAAGATTGGTTCTAGGACTCTAAGTCGTCCTCTGAAGGAGAAAAAAGGACAATCACCAGAATACCATAATTTGCTGAGGATGGGTCTGGTGGAATCAATTGATGGTCTCATGTATACCCGTATGTCCCTCGTACCTGAAACTGATTATACCCCCTTTCCAATGGCTTGGAGGCCTGATCATGAGAAGGCACTGCTTGAATATATAAAGCTGAGTGACCGAAAAACTCTGGATGAGCAACAGAACTTTCTTAAAGAACAAGGTCTGATTTCACCTCAGGATTACATTTCAATGCTTGTTTGGAACTACAAAAGAAACGCTGTTCCAGTAGAACAGAAAAGTTTGTTATTAGGCACAGGTGAGGAAAAAGATAATGAAAGTGATGAAGACGATGAAGAAGTGGTTCATGCAGCTGAAGTTTAAGCGAGATTAGTACTTTTTGGAAGTCTTTTAGACAATTTTTTGCCAAAGATTTTATCGTACTGAACAAACTTGTGTTACCAAGCAAAGAATACCAGCTTGTATGTAAGTATATCCGTTTATATAAATTGAGATTGTTTTCCTGTTCTCCATCTCTGCTTTCTGTTTAAGCTTCAGCGTCAGCTTGTACAAGCAAAGTTTATATTGTTATGCTGCTTATGTATAATAGTCTATGAACTTGTCTGCAACCGAATACCCTATACTTCCCTGGAGAAAGGAGTGAAATAAATGGGAAAAGAAAGAACCTGAGAAACGGTTTAACAAAATACTTTTACCTTTCTCTTTAAACATATTATATTGTTTGAATTAGCTCCCATATTGATCAAATGATTCTTCAAGAACAATCAAATCCCTTGTGATATATCTTTACTATGTATTGGCATTGATCTTAGCAATAAGAACCGACCAGTTAGCGTCTTTGTTACTTCCATTGCAATTATGCAAAGAGAATGGAATCTTTTTAGTATATGGACAATGGTTGGCAAACTTTAATGTCCATGTGCAGATATTTTTGTGTGCCTAGGCGATGTTTGGCTCTTATAAGTTACTTCCTCCAGTCCACAATAAGTGACCAGTTTGCTTTTTCATTTTGGTCCAAAATAAGTGTCCAATTATGTAATCAAGAAAAAATTCAATTTGTTTTTACTCTTTTACCCTTATGTGCATATCCCTAAAAAGTTTTCTCACTCCTCACATTAAATTACTAAAATTAAGTAGCAGCAACTGAAAAGTCATTCAAAGACTCCAGTTTGTTTTCTCAAAGTCGTTCTTAAAATTTTAGCAAAAGTTTCAAATTTTATTTTGAATAATGTAGTGATTTGAGAAGAGAAGTAAATGCCACTATAACTATGTGACCAATATTTAATTAAGGGTAGTTTAGTCATACTAGGTATTTTTGTATAGAATTTAGTATTTTCTTAATGGGCGTGCTAAAAGCAAACTGGTCACTTATTGTGGACCGGGGGAGTATATTTAGTTGGACATCTCTGAGTAAACATCCACTGGTTTGTCATCGGTGTTTTTCCTGGTTGGTACCATCATTGTACTTGATATAGAGATTTCCTAATGTAAGCATCTTTTATTTATGGGAACCAACACTTCATTTTCTCTGCCTAGTAATGATACTTTTGCTGCAAACTGAGTTGTTAAACTTGAAGCCTCTTTTTTATGCTCTGTATTTAGTCTATTGGATCAAACATCTTATTTTCTAACACTGGAGGAGTGTTGTTTTTTCTTTTTCAGATTTTCAGTAACTGCTTTTATGATCGAAGTTCTTCTACTTAAATACCATTGTGGCCTAATTACTGGAAGGATGGAGCAGATTGTTTCTTTATTTCGTTTTATGAAAATCAACCACTTTAGTGTTCAATTTTGTCTTTTCAGCACGTTTATTTTGAAAAGCTAAAGAAATTTGGATAGTTTTTGGAAAAAGGTTTTTGATAATCTCTTTTGGAGAAAAGAGTTTGTGCAAGAGAATGTGTCGATAGTTTTAGTTTTTTGAAGTTTGGTGAGGGGAAAAAGATTTATGGTTCAAAAAGTGCCTCAAAGCACTTCTCCACCCAAAAATTATTTAGCATAAATCTTTTTGTAAAATCTTTAGCAAAACAGGGCTTTTTAAAAACTTCCAAATTTTCAAAAATGTTCATGTCCAGACACCTAAATGGTTTTCAAATGGTTATTCTCTTGCTTAAAGACACAGTTAGGGTCTTGAAGAACTGTTTCCTTCATCCTTTCTATAATCTTTATTCCCTGATTTCCTGTGATTGTCGGGTATGATTTAAATTAGTACATCTGAAAATCTGCTTTATCCTGTATCGGTCAAATGGGATGCTTAAAATATGTTATAGCGAGATTTATTGCACCTTAAGTCTGCGTCGAATCACTGGCCAATCACTACCACAAAAAATGAGAAGCTAAAACATTCTTTTACCATTTTCAATTAGATATATGCTATTAAAAAAAGGACCTGTTGTACATCATTCAGTGCAAGTGCAAATGAGAGACCTAATGATTATCAAAGAAGAAGAAGGAGATGCTAGACATTGGATGTGATTCTGCTTTTTTAAGCGGTTTAGTTTGTTTATCCCCCCTACATATTATATCAGCACATGTCTTGGGAACTAATCTGCAGTCACCATCTAGTGAAGAGAATATGTAAGTTTAGAACTTTGCTCGTAGCATAATTTTCTATGCTAGTTTCCACTTGTTCTGTCTTTATCTCTTAGGTTATGATTATCCCCTAATCATGGGGAAAAAATCCAATGAGATTTGCTCTGAGAAGGCTCTGAGAAGCCACACCAGCTTGGACCACTGTTGGTACCTACTGATCCGTACAGTTGCTTGCATTATTTAGTTCATCTTCTGTGTCTCAGGCAGTTCATTGATGGTCTTTCGACAATATATCTTTATGAATGCAAGAATACCCTGCCTTAAGTTTTGTCATAGTGTTTGGTAATTTAACATTGCGGAAATGTTCTGATGGTTTATGCTTTTCTGATTAATGGACTAGCAAATGTTTCTTTTTGCTTAAACACTGAAGGTCACATACCCCAGTTACATTTACTTCTGCTTTGACTAAATTTTCTTGCTAACAAAACCTTGCACTCTGTCTTTGTCGCAATTGTATGTTTCATCAGCAGTATAATTTATGCTGATTACATAGTTCTGTTCTGGTTACCATTTTTCTTGTCTTCTTCCCGAGTTCTCCTTTATTGACCTCTAATATATGTATGGTTTTTACTATATATAATGTGCAAGTACGCTTGTTAGGAGAAAAGGAAAAGGGAACAGGGGCAACATGACTTGCTGATTAGTATTTCTACAAGAACTGTAAGCAACTCTTTGATGTCCCATGCAGTACACAACTGGTAGTTGCCAAATCTTAAGAAGATACATTAGGTAGATCAGAAGGGACGGAGGAAACTTGCTTAATGATGCACCAGGATATGTCACTCAATTGGTAAAGATTGTAGTTCTCCTTTGCTAGTGGTGCCAACTCTCCTTTCTTCTCAGTGAACTCTTCATCACACGTCGATGTCGCGTCCATAACTGTCCTCATTAGTACATTTGCTGTATTAAAATGCTTAGACAAGAACGCGCCAAAAGCATCCACTAACATGGCAATGGCATCTGCGTAAAGTTCCAAGCAATCTCTTAAGGAGTCCATAGCAAAAGGATCAAACTCTTTGCTGTTAAGCAACTTCTCAATGGTCGAAATCGTGTTAGTAGCATTTTCTAGAGACAGCTCCATTGCTATGATTCCTATTCCTTGTAAGTTGGTAACATGAGTTACAGGAATTACTTGAAGTGAAGAAACACAGAAGTTGTAGTTAAAGTCTGCTGACTCATCTGAGCATTTTTTGCAGGTTGAGTTGATCAAGTCTACTACTGGTGGGGAACTCAGGTAACAATGTGTAGGAATAAATAGTAAGAATAAGCAGCAAAGTGAGAGGGAAAAGAAAGAGCAATGCCACATTATTTTGGAGTTTTAACCTGTTTTGCTGTTTTTCATGTGCTATTGTGAACTTCTACTTATATATACTGAAGAGTAGTACTATAATTACCACAACAACAAAAAAAAAAAAGTACTACAGAATGGATAGTTGACAGCACAAGGAAACTTCCTGGCAATTCATCAAACCATTCATTTTAGCAAATGGGGGAAGGGTTTAGGAAATTTCAGTGCCAAAATTTGGATCTTCTCATCTCCTGTTTCAAGCTAAGTTGCTCGGACACGGGTGCGGATGTTCGACACGGGTACGGATTTAGAGGTCGGATCATTCGAGATGTAAATTCTAAGATTCGGGAATATGGATCCTAGTACGGACACGGGTGCAAGGATCCGGTTAAAAATAATTCAAAAACATAAAAGTATAAAAAATATCTCTAAATTATGAGAAATTATGTGAAATACTTAAGTATAGATTATAAAGTGTGGAATTTTTTTTTTTATTCTCAAGTTGTAGATAAGTAAAGGATTGATTTCTTAGATAATGTATGCTATTTTCTTCAACTTTACCCTAACGTATGCTATTTTCGGGTATTTTACAAAAAGGTCTTTTTTATTCTTTTGAGTTTTAGCTGAGAACAAATGTTTTTTATTTCTTTTTAAAAATGTTTAATGAATCAAAGAAACAAGAGAACTCTTTTATCATATCATCCTTTCGAAGTTCAGGTACCTTAAGGCTTATGCATGCACCTTTGTCTTGGCTGTCATCACATTATCTTTTCACGAATAGTTCATGCTTGAGATTGAGATTAAAATAGTAATCTTTCTTAGTAAAATTATAATAAAATTGGTTGATAGTATAAAATTGTATTGCTTAAGAACTACAATACTTTTTTTCCTATTTGGTGATACTTCGTTGTTGTTTATGTAACCAAGAAGAGTTTTATTATTCACATTATTAGATCATTTAAAAGGTAATTAAGAAATAAATTTTCATAAGAAAATGAAATTACTACTACCAAATTTAGGTAAATAATTTCTGCCAGTAGAAATAGTATAATCCAAGAGAAGGAGGACACATCAAGTATCAAAGGCCGGAGCTAGATTATTAGTTATGGGTTCAAACAAATTCGATAGCTTTTATTTTAATTATGTATTTATGTTAAAAATTTAATAAATATATATAATATTTAATGACGAATCCAATAACTAAGACGAATTATTAATTTAGCGGCAAATTCAAAATCCATATAAATCCTTGTCCCGTCTCTGACAAGTATATACTAGAAGTCTAGAATCAAGGCAAAGAAGAAGAAAAAGTTTATAATATAGAAGAAAAAAAAAAATTCTGAACAACTCACTCTTATTTTTTATTTTATGTAAGCCCTGTTATTAGGTGGGAACCTTAGCATTGTCCTGACACGTATCTTTTTACATTTTGCTACGTGCCTTTTCTATATTTCATTCATAGCCATTTCTGTCATCATTAATTCGGTGAAGTTTACGTGCTTGTGTTCTTCAGTCTGCAGCTCTCTGCTCATATCAAAACCAGTGAGTACTATACAAGTACTAATTAATTTACAGTAAACAAAAGAAGATCATATTCAGATTGAAAGAGAAGAACTGAGTATAAGAAAAAATTGTCATCAGCTCAAGTAGATCCACATGACAAGATGAGGGCTAGAGATGTTAACAAAGTGGCTAAAGGACAACAAGCCCCTCGCCCTGTTCATGAAACTGGCACTGTTTCTAAACCTCCTCCTCCTTCCTCCACTGACCACCAGGTCTAATTTTCCTCGTGTCTTATCTCTTCCTTTTTTTTTTTTTTTTTTCCACTAAAAATCATGCTATAATCTGGAAGGATCAAGAATTTAGACGTTGTGCGTTTTGAGTTGAAATGGTAAAACGTATATCTAACTTTGTCTATACTAGTTCTGCAAATATGCCATAGTAGGCATATGCATGGATGTATATTAAAAAAAAAAAAAAAAAAGCAGCCCCATGCAGTTTTGGGCATGGATGTATATATACAGCCTTTTTGCAGCCAATACAAGTAGTTCGTTCATATATTTTTCGTTTATGTTGATGATGGTACAGTTTGAGACGGAAGAGAGAGCTAAAGCTAATGCCATTGCTGATGAAATCCGCCATTGTTATGCTCGTTTCCGCCACTACCATAGGTTAATATTAATTCCATACTATTATCTTAATTAATTAACTAGCTAGCTAATACTAAATTATGTACTATATGGGAATTGGAATGACATGAATGATTAATTAGGTGCCTTGAAGAAAAGGGAAAAGACTCGGAGTGCGAGAAGATTAAGAAGGATTACAAATCGTCTTGTCCTTCAGAATGGGTATGCAAAAGCTTAATTTTACGAAAATTTATCATTAGACAAGTTTTTTTTATAAGTGTATATATATATGTCAAGAGAGTTCATTCTAAAAAGTTGTATGAGAACTTGATGAAGTGATATTGGTCTGTGTTTGTGCAGATTGAAAAGTGGCATGAAGAGAATGTGGTTCGAAGTCGATAGTTCTAATCACCAAAAATGGGGCTTTTGCAACTATTTGTATTTTACTTCTTATTTCTTTAATTTTTGGTTTTTGGCCATAATAATTTAATGAAGTGAACCATGAATTATTTTGTCTTCTGTACGTGTTAGTACTTTGGTATAGGCTGGGCCTGCAGCTTATTAGATGTTTTTACCACGTTAGCTATCATCAATATATGGACAAGTGGGGCTAAATTTTCTTGACAAAAATACATTACCGAGCGATTATGTGTACAATTAATGAGTAACACAAATTATGGGATCAATTTTATCCTTACTTTTCTTTTTACATTCTCTCTCCTACTATTTTCTATTCTATTCTGTGAAGTTCCTTAAATCTGGTTATTAAATATTGGCTATTAAAAGTGTTCATTTTTATTTTTTGCAAATTAAAGGATTAAAAATGTTCATATATTTAGGGGATTATTCCGAACCTACCTCATATATATACAATGTTTTTAATTATTTGTGGTTTATTTTGATCTCAAATATATACAATGTTTTTAATTATTTGTGGTTTATTTTGATCTAATTCGTTTTGATTCAATCAAATTGTGGACGTGTTGGGTTATGTAGTCTAATGACATCATTTTGATGCATCACAATACATTCGGAACGTGCGCCATGATGACACATGATGAGCTTTAATGGCATTCTAAACTGACGTGACGGTTTGATACAACTTCCGAAACGTCACGTCGCTACCTCGCCACGAGTTGTTCGCCCATCGCTCAAGGCGCTCATATTTCTTATAATATTTCTGATCGACGAAGTCCGCCCATCGAACTCGCCCAAGGGCGACCTCAATAGGCGGATGGACTAATTGTATGGGTCGAAATCTGACCGTGCGTGAATTAGCGCTAAAAGGAATGGCGAGGGGCCGACTAAGCCGTGGTTGTATCCACAAGGCATTGTGACGACAAGTATCCCGGCCGCTGCCGAGATCGAAAAAAGCTTGTACAGCGGAGTATAAGTCGTGACACTTAAGGGGAACACCTGAAATACAATCATGAGATTAGGGTATTCTGGCTAGCTATCGTTGGGCAAAAAGGAATACTCACTATATATATAGGAGGTAAGAGAACAAGAAAAGGGGGCTTTTCCTTTAATCGAAAATAGAGAGAAGAACCGGAGAAGGCTTCTGAGGAAAAACAAGAGAAGGTTTAGATCTTGGTTGTAAATCTTTGTAATCGTCGTTATTGAATCAACAAAGATAGACCTCGTAGCTGTTGATGGCATTCCTTCTTTTCCTTCTCTATTCTTACATTACGGAATAATACGTTAAGAATGTAAGCCTATCATCTACGTTTGACACTTTTTATAATCTTAAAAAGTGTATGACCTTGGTTATATCCTATTCTTTTATTCAATGTGCTTTGATCTAGAGTTAATTATCCCTGGCTAGGATTTATCCTCTATTTTCTTATTAATTAGTTTAACAAAAAGCCTAGTACTTTTTGGTCAAACAATTTTGACCTTGGTTATATCCTATTCTCTTATTCAATGTGCTTTGATCTAGAGTTAATTATCCTTGGCTAGGATTTATCCTCTATTTTCTTATTAATTAGTTTAACAAAAAGCCTAACACTTTTTGGTCAAACAATTTGGCGGCGTCTGTGAGGATTTCTTAGCCAAAAAGTTTAGTTCCCTCTAGATCTGAAGTCACCTAGGCTTTCACTCCCCGGCTGTCGTAGCCTCACCCTTTCATGTGCAAACACCAACTCGAGCACTTCGTAGGCAAGCTTTTGAAATAACCAAACCAGTAAGGGCCAGATCTTTATTTGAAATCAAAATTATGTCCGATATCTATACAAAACCCACGTCTCACCTGTAGCGATGGGTTTGGCAGTCATATGCGTATTCAAAGCAGGATTACGGTCGTTACGCACTTAGTACGTCCGCAATCTTATTTGTCGTATTAACGTTATATGCCGATCTGTACTTCCACCTCTTAGGGAAGGACAATAGCCTACTGTGTGATTCTTTGAAATAACCGGCGTATCCTACCTTATTTTTGTACCCGTATGCACTGTGTAATTTATGTACAGAGTATAACATGTTTCCCTTATTTTTTGAGCACATCGGACGGGATCGGATGATCGGGACTCAAGCTCGAGATCCCAACAGGCAAAGTAAGTCCAGCCCATGAGAAGCCTAGATGCGACTAACGGTGAAGCCAAACACGGCTACCAAATCTGAAACCGCCATTCGAGTACAGGACGAAGCAAGTCGCCCTACAGCGCCCTTCCCCCCTCACCGACTTACCAGGTCAAGGTAACAGGCAATTTCGTTGAGTTTAACTTATCATACTTTCTTTTTTGGATCGGGATAGGAACATGAGCATTCTCACAGGTGCACGAACAAGGAACAAACTCCACCGAACACACCGGGGAAAACGTTTCGTACCGTATCATCTCATAGGCGATGACCAAGCAAAGCCCTCCGTGCCATACCATATTACAAGTAACAGAAACGGCTCAAAACAGGCCGACATTTTTAAGAAACAATCTCCATAGCCTGGGACTGAGCAGCAAGCCCATGGAACATATAATCTCTCCAACGCAGGCAGAATATGAACTCGAAAAGCTTGCACGTATGCTCACCATGACAATCCTACGCCAATTTAGCCGACTAAATATTACGAATCACGTCCGAACTTCGTTTGAATTAATGGTCCCAGGGTTCCCAGTAGCCCAAGCAATAAGTTCATCGCCCGCCCCGTCAACGACCTCTCCAGGCCGAGCAATGAAGGGACTAGATAAACTGGGACTCCACCGACGTATACAAACTATGCAACAATGCATAATATTCTCCAATGAAAGCAAGAATAAACGAACTGGGACTCATCCAGACGCATGCATAAACGATACGGCTATGAGAAATATTCGCCAATAAAAGCAAGGGCGCGTGTGACATCCTTACCACTCCACCGAACCAGCACATCGCGAAGTGAAAGTAAAATTCGACCTCGTTCGAATTCATAACGGGTTACACTTCGACCATGCTCGAATTTACACCAATACGGCCCCCGGCAGTCGCCAAGTGAAAGTAAAATTTGACCTCGTTCGAATTCATAACGGGTCACACTTCGACCCCGCTCGAATTTACACCCTTACGGCCCCCGGCCATCGCCAAACGAAAGTCTAAATTCGATCTCGCTCAAATTAACAAATCAAAATTCAACCTCGTCGAACTCATTACGGGTCATAATTCGACCACGCTCGAATTTACACCCTTACGGGCCCCGGACATCGCCAAACAGAAGTCTAAATTCGATCTCGCTCGAATTAACAAATCAAAATTCGACCTTGTCGAACTCATAACGGGTCATTATTCCACCTCGCTCGAATTTACGCCCCTGCGGCCCCCGACCATCGCTAGGCGGAAGCAAAATTCGACCTCACTCGAATACACAAGTCAAAGCCGACTTTGCCCAAGCTGGCAAGCCTGATTTCGGCCTCACTCGAATATACAAGTCAAAACTGACTTCGCCCAAATTGGTAAATCGGAAAATCAAAAGTCAACCTCGCTCGAATTTGCAGATCAAAAGTGACTTCATTCGAACTCACAAAATAAGATCCGGTCACGCTCGAATCAAGCGAACTAAATTCGACCTCATTTGAATTCCCGATTAAAAATCAGGGACTCATAACTGGGAAATCCGAAGATCTTTTTCAAAAAAAAAGAGAAAGTCAAAAGACATATAACCAAAGGCAAAACGGCTATTTTATTCAAAAGATGTACATGCGCAACGGCTGCGCCTTACAAAAGGCCAAAAAGCGGGCCCCCAAGAAAAAGATGAAAACAAAAAACAACAACAAAAAGCTAAGTACAAAAGCTGCAAAAAATCTTTTCACTCGGCATCATCTCCATCGCCGTTCTCCCCAGAATCATCATCATCAGAAGGAAGCCCATCTTCAATCTCAGCGCCCTCACCGGCCTCCGGTGTTGCAGGGCCATAAACGCAGGCAAGACGAGCCTCGAGTGCCTTCGCTCGAGCATCTTCAAAAGTGGCCTCAAGAACACTCCCCGCCTCCCACAAACCCTTGTATATATCTCGTTGGGCCTCAACATGGACCCATAGCTCGTACAAACGGCGGGGGACAGTGGCAGAGGCAGATTCTTGTGGGGGGGCCTAAGCTAACAGTTGCGCCTTCTCGGCCTCAAGAGCCATAACTCGGTCTCCCAGGCTCGAAGCATCCCTATCAAGTTCACCGATCTACTCCTCGAGCCGTGCCTCTCTCAGTATGGTCGTCGCCCTCTCGACTTCCCGCTCAGACCTGAGGATGCGGATAGTGTCTTCCAGCGCCGCCGCCCTCGCCAAAGCCGCCACTCGAGCCCCCTCGGCTCTCTCCAACTCGGCCACCTTCTGCTCTAGCTTGGCAACCTTCACCGTCCATTTCACACTCAGATTAGCGACGCATTTTGCTCAAGCTCTGCTCGCAAAGACAACACATTCGCCTGAAGATCCTCGCACTCCGCTGCAACCCCTTTGCCCAACTCGAGCTCCTCGTCTTTGGCATTAAGTAGCTCCTCGAGCTCGCTGCATCTGCGGATAGGCCGCATCAGTTCCTCGTCTCTTTTCTCCAACTCCTCCCTAACGGATTGAGTATTGTCACCCGCCCTGAGTTGAGCATGCATCTCACGGCACCTGTTGCGATACTTCGCGGCCATCTTCAGAAAGACTTCGGCCCGCGTCTCAGCCCTACGAGCGCTCTCGATCTCCAACATGTAAGTCTAAAAAAAAGAGAGAAGAAAGAAAAAGAGAGGAATCAGCGAAAGCAAAAGGACACCAAACAGAGAAAACAACGAAAGGAAACTCACCCTCATGGCCATCCCGGCCACACCGCGCAACAAAGCGGAATTATTGATCTCCTGAAGAGACTCACTTTCGGCGGCAGAGCACAGAAGGTCGAACTGGGGCACCAACTCCACCGTGTCCTCCAACAGGTTAAAGTCCGATGGAATCTCGAGCACGCGAGAAGGGGCTTCCGCCCTTATATCGACCCTGGTAAAGCCCTCCTCGAACATTCTCATATCCTCAGGATCAATGTCGGAATCAGATTCGTAGTCATCTATTGCTACGCCTTTCAACCTCTCATTAGCCGAAGAGGAGGCGTGACCCTGCCGAGATGACGATGGACCGCTCGGAACAATCGCGGCGACCCCCAAACTCTATCCCCTGCCACGGTGGTCTCCTCCACGACCAAAATAGGCGTCACTTCCGCACCCAGGCTGGTATCACCGCCAGCTTCAGATACCGCCAAAGTAGGGTCGCCCCTCGAGGACGTCCTAACCAAAGGCGCCCCCTCCGACAACCTCCGGCTCTTTGATGGTGCCTCTTCGCCATAGTTACGAGAAGGTTCATCCGTTGAACGGACCGTGGAAATCGGAGTGTCCGACTGGGAAGCAACCTCCAAACGAACAGATCCAGTGACGGATGCAGTCGGCCGAGCAACCAAACATTGGGTGCCCTCGTCCACAGTCACCCTCGAAACGGGCTGGGTTAAGGAAGTCGACTGGCGGAAAGCAAGTGCTAGAGCCCTCACCCTTCTCCCTCCTCTCCGGCCTGTCAATAAGAAGAGAATCGACCAAATAAGGGTAAGGTAAAAGAAACTACGAAGCAAAGAACAAAGTAACAGATCGTAACGAGCCGACTCACCTGCAAGAGGCTTGCGCCCAAACTTCTCATGGAAAGGTGCCCATTCGCGAATCCCCATCGTATAGGGGAGAATCACGCTCACCCACTCACGAATATCAGCAACTAACGGAGGAGGTACCCTCTCGACTACAAAAACAGAAACAAACCGTCAACAAAGTCATTAAAGGGAGATGACTGAAAACCAGCTTGAGAAAAAAAAATGCATAAGGTAAAAAGAAAGGAAAACCTACGGGCGAAATTCCATGCCTTGAGAAACCCCGCAGGGTCCGACACCACGTGCTCCGTTCGGACGTTGAAGTAATTCTCCCAAAAGCGGCGATTGGTCTTGTCGTCCATCTTCACCACCAAACTCTTGGTCCCTCGGTTGCGTAGATGAATCATCGTGCCCCTAAGGAAATGAGGGGCAAAGAGATGAAACATGTGCTGAAGAGAGATTCCCCGACCGGCTAGCTCCGCATACTTGCTAAGCATAAGGAGGAGTTTGTGCACATACGGAGAAAGTTGAGCCGAACACACCTCATAGAAGCGGCAGAAGTCCACCACCAGCGAGGGAAGAGGACGCGCGTATCCAATGACGAACGGATACGCGTAGAACACGCAGTAGCCCGGGCGGTGTATATGCACTATGTCCCGACCTGCTGGAACTAGCTCAATGTGATCGGGAATCCCCCCTTTGGCTTTGAACGCCGTGAGCGCCGCAACATCCATCACCGAGAAAATAGGTTCCGGCTCATCCCCGGCTGGGCTGTTAAAATCAGTCCTCGCCTTCCCTAGACGGGGAACCACATCATCCACTGTCGGAAAACTCTCGTCTTCCACCAGACCCACTCCCTCTTCTATTAGGGGTACATCATTCTTCGGCGCCGGAGCACCAATGACTCTATCAGAACGGGAAGAAGCACTAACCATTTTTTCTTTGATTGAAAGAAACAGGAATGACAAGGGAAAAAAGGTAGTGGTCGCAAAAGTTCCTAACAGAAATAGAAGTATGAGAAGCTGAAGAAGAAGAAGAGTTACAAAAATCTCTCGTGAGAGATTAAGAAGCGTAGCAGTCAAATGAAAGATCCTCTCCTATTTATAGAGATAAGATGCCCTGAGCGGGAAAGCCAAACGTCGCCATTTCGAAAACGAAAAGGGCACGAGAAAGGACGCTATACATAGAAAACATGCGCCATAATGACGCATGATGAGCTTTAATGGAATTCTGAACTAACGTGACGGTTTGATACAACTGTGATGACCCAAAAGGACATCACTTGTTTTAGAAATAAATTATGCATTCCGAGTCCTTAAAAATCTCTTTCAGCATCACCTCGATTTGCGTGCGCAGTCCGGGCTCGTAGCCGGAAAGCCATTATGTGAAAATCTATGAAAAATGACGAACTTTGACTTTAAAATGAACTTTAGTTGACTTCGGTCAACATTTTAGGTAAACGGACCCGGACCCGTAATTTGACGGTCCCGGAGGGTCCGTAGGAAAATATGGGACTTGCGTGTAAGCCCGGAATCGAATTCCGAGGTCCCAAGCCCGAGAAATGAATTTTTAAAGAAAATTGTTTTCTGAAATTATTTATGAGTTTTGGAAATGAAATGTGTTTAAAATTTGATGGTATCGGGCCCGTATTCTGGTTCCGGAGCCCGGTACAGGTCTTATATGTGGTTTAAGTCGAGTCTGTGAAATTTGGTAAGAAACGGACTCTAAATGACGTGAATCGGACTCTCGGTTGTGAAATTTGAAACTTAAGTGTTCTTGAGATTTTTCTTTGATTTTGATGCTAAATTCGTTGTTAAAGATGTTAATTTGGCGATTTGATCGCACGAGTAAGTCCATGTGATATCTTTGAGTTAGTATGCATGTTTGGTTTGGAGCCCCGAGGGCTCGGGTGAGTTTCGTATAGGTTTCGGGGTGTTTTGGACCCATACAAAAAATTAATAGCTCTTAAAGGAGGCTGTGGTCTATAGTCAGTGCCGAACTTACAAAACCAGAGACGAGCACGATTGCTCTCGCTATTAAAGTGCTTCTTGATAAAAACTCGAGCTTTTAGTAAGATCGTGCCAACTTTTACATACACATTTGAATCGCAACAGTGATTTCACAGGTAACCTCAATAGAATATCATTTACAGTTTCTTCTCGTGAATAGCTTTCAATACTAGTTGTCATTCTGCTCCCCCAATTATTTCCTACAATATATGCAAATAGCTTTGTTATGTTTGAAGATTACATTAACATAGATATAGAACAATGATAACGAATTGACCAAGTAAAAACCTGAAATCAACAAATGAATAAACATTTGGTAATCTAACCTTATATGAAAATGAAGAAGAAACAGCGTTTGTTCGTGTGCTAGAAAAGTTAAACTAGACAACTAGAGAGCATTGAGGCAATTTTCAAGAAGCAAGTTCTTCCCCAAAGTATTGTTATATGATTCTAAACCTTTTCCTTTAAATTTCCCTTTGCATTTCATCAATCTTCATCCAAAAATCTAGAGTTTTTATGGTAGAAATTAGGAATTTTGGATAGAATTAGGGCTTTTTGTAATTGGGATTTAGACCTCGTTTTGGGGTCGGATTTCGAAACTAATTACATATTCGGGCTCGTGAGTGAATGGGTGAACGGGTTTTGGTCCGAACCTCGAGTTTCGACCAAGCGGGCCCGGGGTCGATTTTTGACTTTTTGGGGAAGATGATGGAAAACCTATAATTTAGTCTTGGGATTGGATTATTTAGCATTTATTGATGTTGTTATATTAATTTGAATTAGATACAAGTAATTCGGAGGCGGATTCCAAAGGAAAAGCGGTGTTTGAGGCTTGAGTTAGCCGTGAAAGTTTGAGGTAAGTGTTTGGTCTAACCTTAGCTTGAGGGATTAGGGGTCGAGTCCTATTTGCTACGTGATTATTGTTGAGTACGAGGTATAGACATGGTGGCGAGTATCTATACGTTGATGTCTAGCATGACCGTGAGTCTTATAATGTGATTTTCATGATTTCGTTGAATAATCTATGCTTTAGAAGTGATTTCTATTTGTTGTGAAAAGTTAAGGAAGAAATTGTGACTTTTGAATATCGAGGAGCAATGGCTCGAGTTATATTACGAATTTGTGAAAGCAAGTGAGTTGATTGAACCCTTTGGAGCATTGACTCAAGTGGTAAAGCGAGTTGTGAAGCAAAAGTGAAAAGAGAAAGAGTTATTAAATTGTTCCCTTGCCGGTATATTATTGCTTATTTGGTTATCTCCCTTGCCGGGATGTTGATATTGTTGATGTTGTTTCCTTGCCGGGATTTAATTGTTTAATTATTGCTCCCTTGCCGGGATTCCTATTATAATCTTATTTATTCCCTCGCCCCATTGTTTGTGATTGTTGTTTGGGTGAGGAAGAGAGTTAAAGCACGAAGGGTGATGCCGTGCATTGTTTGTTATGTTAGGAAAGAGTGTAAAGCACGAAGGGTGGTATGCCGTGGACCGCACGATGTAACATTCCGTGCCTAGTTATATTGATTTTATGGTAGAGGAAAGAGTGTAAAGCACGAACGGTGATGCCGTACCGCACGGTGTACCGATTCCGTGCCGTTATTGGTATTAGAGTTACTTATAGGTGTAGGATGAGAGTAAAAGCACGAAGGGTGGTGCCGTGCACTTGTCCTTGATTTCCCTGATTCTTGCTGATAATTGAGTTATGTTGTCCTTTACGTTTATTTACTGATTTTCTATTGTTATTTGGTTTTATTTCGTGGTTATAGATTCCCTTACCCTATTTTCCTTGTGATTGTTGTTTGGGTGAGGAAGAGCGTAAAGCACGAAGGGTGATGCCGTGTATTGTTTTGCTAAGAGAGAGAGAGTAAAAGCACGAAGGGTGATGCCGTGCCCTTGTCTTTGATTTCCTAATTTTTATTGATAACTGTGTTACGGTTTCTCTACACTAAATTGCTGATTTTCTGTTAATACTTGTTGTACCCCGCAGCATGATTTCCCCTTCCTATTTTCAATTGAACTGTGGTGATCCTCATGTTTACTTGTTGCTCTTCTGTTACTATTCGATGTTTCCCCGCAGTATGTTTTTCCCCCTCCCATACATGATTGTATGTGAATGTTTCTTTCTATACTTCTTTTCTACTGTATATATAGTTAAATTGCACAGGTTTATTTGGTAGTCTGGTCCTAGCCTCGTCACTACTTCGCCGAGGTTAGGTTAGGCACTTACCAACACATGGGGTCGATTGTGCTGATACTACACTCTACACTCTTTTGTGTAGACCCCAGTGGTGTAGACTTCGGACCGCGGTGGGATTGCTGATTCTAGCCCATCAGGCGACCCGAGGTAGTCATGCAGGCGTCCGCAGGCTTTGGCATCTTCTTCTATCTACTATTCTTGTTTCTTTCATGCATTTCCAGAGACAGTGTTGTATTTATTTCTTTCAGACCTTTATTTGTAGTATTCTTAGACCGTCTGTGAAACTGTGACACCAGTTTTGGGTAGTCGAGCCTCAAACAATTGTATTAGACATGTTCAGATAGCTTATTATTTTCTTCCACTTACGTTAATTCCGTTGTTTAAATGTTATTTCTTCTTAACTGTTAAAGGATATAAAATGGGTAAAAAGGTAAATTGTTCAAATAATTGGCTTGCCTAGCTCACATTAGTAGGCGTCATCACGACTCCCGAGGGTGGGAAATCCGGGTCGTGACAACAACTCCCGAAATGCCACGTCGCTACCTCGCCACGAGGTGTTCGCCCATCGCCCAAGGCGCTAAGATTTCTTATAAGATTTTTGATCGACGAAGTCCGCCCATCGAACTCGCCCAAGGGCGACCTCAATAGGCGGAAGGACTAACTGTATGGGTCGAAATCTGACCGTGCGTGAATTAGCGCTAAAAGGAATGGCGAGGCGCCGACTAAGCCGTGGTTGTATCCACAAGGCATCGTGACGACAAGTATCCCAGCCGCTGCCGATATTGAACTATCAGAAAGCTTGTACGGCGGAGTATAAGTCGTGACACTTAAGGGGAACGAGCTGAAATACAATTGATGATAGGCTATAATTACGTATTTTAGTCGCTTATTACACTCAAATTTACTGCACTTTAGTTGAGTTTGTGTTTTAATCGTTAGTGTTTTGCACTAATTGTGTGTTTTATGCCTTGTAGGAGTGATTTCGAGCTATATATTCGTTGTGTATTTTATGCCCTGTGGCGTTTGATGCCTAGAACTTGCCCTGTGTGTTTGCAAAGCGAAATAGTAGTTTTGTTCAGTCTTGGAAGTGATATAGGTGTTTCTTTGTTGAGCCAGATATGTATATTTTACCCACCTAATTGTTATGTATCGTAGTTAACCCCTTTGAGTCTGTAATCTTATTTCTTCGGCAACCACATTACAAGCCTTACCTATTTGTTTGAATTAATCATCTATTTGAACCTTTTAACCTCTCATGAGCACTTGAATTATTATGAACTGTGTAAAAGTTAAAGTGTGGGGTAGTTGGTTTGGCTTTTGAGTGGAACTAATGAAATAAGGAGAAATGTGCACTGTTTTGATAAAAGTAAGAGCCACTTGAATTGGAAAAAAAGAAAAAAAGAAAAAAAAATAGTTCGATTGTTGTGAAAAAAAAATATTCCTTGATAAGTGATGGCTTTTGATGTAAGTGTGCTTAAAGAAGAATGGGTAATATACATTGATGTGAAGGTGGAGTTTGGTTTGACATAAGTATGGGGTTTGAATGTTAAAGTATATGTATTAAAGTGCTTAGGGAGGTGTAGTCACTCTTATATCTAAATGTATCATACCCGTCCCTCAACCTACATTGCAACCAATTAAAGTCCTACTTGATCCTAGATTGAATGAGCTCGATTAGTAGAGTAGTAAATTACGGGCAAGCCTATGGTGCATCTTTTGTAGCATATGAATGTTATTTCTGAGAGTGAGTGAATTCTTTCTATCTTGAGTTCCTAAGTGTTCTTTAATTTTATTGTGTGGAACTACTCTCTTTTGTTGTGTGAGGGCACTTGATTCATGAAGGAAAGGTAATATCAGTGACCTCTATGTTAGAGTAAGTAGGTGAGTTGTGAATAATGCGTGGTACTTGTGAGTCAAATCTTGAGGTGAAGATGTTACGCTTTTGTGCTTAGTCTATTTTAAATATTCTTGGTGTGATGAGTTAGGAGAATTGTTTAAAAAGGTCGTGTCTATATAAAGTGTAGTTTGATTGCACGAGGGCGAGCAATGGGTTAAGTGTGGGGTTTTGATGATATGCTATAATTACGTATTTTAATCGCTTATTACACTCAAATTTACTGCACTTTAGTTGAGTTTGCGTTTTAATCGTTAGTATTTTGCACTAATTGTGTGTTTTATGCCTTGTAGGAGTGATTCCGAGCTGTATAGATGTTATGGAATGAATTCAAGTGATTTAGAGCTTTGAAGTCTGAGTAAAAGCCCAAGGAATTAAGCCGGGATCATATTCGGGGATCAACGGATGATAGAGCAACAAAACGAAGAATCGAGTAGGCATATTGCGCACTATCTAGTAAAATACACATAACTTTTTGCTCAAAACGCCATTTGGGCTCCACAATATATGGTTGAAAAGCTAACTCAAAGAGCTACAACTTTCAAGTTTTACGTTTTTTCAAATTCCAAACGGAACAGGGTGAAAAACGCGGTCGAAACCGCGACCGCGGACCTGAGACGGGCTGAGGGAGTATACTTGCCAATTACTGCGTTCGTACCGCGGTTGACCGCGGCCGCGGCTGTCTAGACGTGAAAAACTGTCCTTTTTAGCGTAGGAGAAGGTATAATAGTTTGGGCCCGACCCTACTTGGTATATATACATGGAAAAATGGTATTTTAAGAGGTTGGACACACTTTTGACATAATTTAGACCTAAGGAGGCGGAGGAGACCAATTTTTGACAGAGATTCGACCTAAGGAGGCAGAGACACAATAGGAGCAAGGCGGAGAATTCTTCTACGAGTTTTTCCTTCCTCTTCCTATTTTTCATTGTTGGTTATGACTTTTAGTATTGTAGTTTTACATACTATTATGAATAACTAATTTGTTATCTAGGGTTTTGATAGAATATTTGGTATGATAAATTCTTGTTATATTTTTATATAATTGAGCCGTTGGATTTCTCTACTTGTTCAACTGCGTGTTTGTTGTTGTTGATTGAATGGCCATCAATTGACTGTGCCTATTTAGTGTGTACTGCTCGAGAGAGAGTACATATTTAAGTAGTTGTTGAACAATGTCACTCCTAACGTATGTGAGAAATCAATATATTGGGTTTAAAGTATGGGTGTCCAACGGGACGGGACGGGACGGGACGATTTTAACGGGACGGGACGGGACGGGTTCGTGGGCCTTAAGTGTATTTTTTTAAAAAAAAAAAATTTAGTTTTTTGAAAATTACTATGTTTTTAAAGTTTGCAACGACTAGATTTTTGACTTATTTAATAAACTTAAATATTACTATGTTAGTATGTTAAAAAGAAAATTAGAAAACTAAGTAAAGAATTATAAAATATTAAAACAAAAGACTTGTAATGAAATAATCTAGTAAATATAAATTTATAATAGAGTTATAATTTATTTAATATAATTTCAAAGTATTAACTATTAAGTAACACCGACAAATCATAAAAATAATTCATCTCTAGATTTTAAGCTATTTGCCGCGGTTGTGTTAGCAGAAGCATTATCTAAGGTGATAGTTAGAACTTTATTAATAAGCCCATAAAAATCAAGTATTTGTAGAACAGTAGTTGCAATATATGCTCCAGTGTGTTTAGAATCAACAAATTTATAACCAATAATACGTTTTTGCAAGTTCCAATGATGATCAACCCAATGACACGTAACAGTTAAATAATCACAACCATTAGGACTACGACCTATATCAGATGTGATGGACACTTTACAATCCAAGTGATAAAATACACAACGAATATACTGAAGATATTCAGTCTGAAATTTAAAAACATCATTTCTAACCGTGATCTTGGGAAAACCTTGAAAAGCAGGGTTATAAGTTTCTTGAATATAATGCACAAAAGCAGGGTGAGAAGGAAAAGTAAAAGGTAAGCCACAGACCGCCACCATTTTTGCTAAGTTCTCACGATCTCTATCTTTGTTATATTTGTGTAAAATATGACCGGAAGCAGGGTCAAGTTGTTGTTGAATTTGGTTAGAACCAGATCCACTAGGAGTGCCAGTACTGATGGTAGGATCTATAATTTTTCCGGCTTCTATGTTAGCTTTTATCCATAAATCTTTGTGAGCACTTCTCAAGTGTCTAGTTAACCCCCCCCCGTCCCACCACTTAATGAGTGTGCAAATTGTTGCTTACATTTTTCACAGATAGCACGATGATTGACTTTGTCATGTTTAAAAAAATTCCATACAAGTGATGTTTTGGGACGTTCAACCTTAGGCTTACCCCTTACAGGGGGTACAGGGGGTAAAGCTCCAGACTGAGATTGACTCTGAGTTGGAGCTTGTGTTGCGGGACTAGTGGGTGTTTCGTCTAATTCTTCTTCCTCATTTTCTTCATCCTCATTTTCTTCATCCTCAAAAAAAATATCGTTGCCAAATTGTCTTTGTAAAGTTTCATGATCTAATTGTTCTCCGACATGAACATCATAAAATGTGGGGGGTTGAGAAAATGAAGTTTCATCAACATGAGTCATTTCATCAATATGCTTTCTAACTCTAGGGGGTCTAGGAGAAGGGTTATGATTAGGATTACTACTACTTTCACCTTTACTACTTTTTTTACTACTTTTTTTAAACATACCAAATACATTTTTAGGTGCCATGATTTAAATACGAAACTAAATTAAAAAAGCTAACACAAATATTACACACACAAATGAAATACGAAAATATAACACGTAAAGTAAACACAAAAATTAAGCACTAAAATGATACGCAAAAATTATATATTAAAATTAGGAGATGGAACGAGTGCACCGTGATTAAATATTGAAACTTGAAGAAATTACCCGAAATATTGCTCCAAATACTTGACGAATTAATTTGAAGCTTGAAAGTTGCTCCAAAAAATTTGCCCAAATACTTGAAAGTTGAAAGATATCACTTGATAGTAACAATATTGAGAGAATAATATAGAATATTAGAATGTAAGAGATTTGAGAGAGAAGATTGATTTTTTGTGGGAAAAAATGAAGAAGAATGGGGGGTATTTATAGTAGAAAATAGGGCCAAAGTGTCAAATATTAAACTTAGGGGTTATATTAAAAGTTTGGGGGGGAGGGGGGGGGTTGGGGTGTTTTG